TTTTTTTTTTTTTTTTTTTTTGCAATTACTAGCCAGTGCCACTACTAGCTGTTACCTACACAACCCACGAGTTTTATTCCCTATGTCGCACTATAGATTGCGTGGACGCTTAGGTCGGGTTGTGTCGGTTTGGTTTACCCAATCATAGAACTAAACCGGGGAAAACCGGACTAGACAGGTTCAGTGAGATGCAAGTTCATACCAATTGGTTTGGGAATGGAATAAGAAGGGGTTTTGATCAAGGTGGCTTTCTCTCTTGAGTTAGAATTCACACCGTCACCTGCTCAAGGCAAATACCGACAATAAAAGCAGTTCTACCAGTCAAGAAGCCAATCCGAAAGAAACATGTTCAAGAAGCAAAAACCACGAAGAATTCTAAACGCCCTAACCTAACAATCTCTCTGATAACCACACTACAGAAAGAAAAAAAAAAGCAGAATCTCCTTGGTTCCTGGAATGGAACAGATACCTAAATCGCATCAGCTTTACTAGTTAGTCATACCCTGAGAGAGAGAGAGAGAGAGATGTTCTTTTCAAGGCTTGGGGGCGCAAGAGAGAACATGTGACTTGAACTTCTCCAGCTCGGTCAAGACTTCATCTTCTGGTCTGTAAATCAAGTCACTCATCCGCCATATCTGTGAAGAAGTGAAGATACCACATTAAGTTTTTGGTTTTTCGCAAAATACAATTTTTGCTTATTGTACATACACACAATGTGTGATATAGGTCAACAGGGTTGACTACAGAGCAACAAATCGTACCTGCAATGTGCCACCACCACCAGTACTCTCACAGTCATCAGAAACACTGACAATAGTCCACGGGTCCGATGCATTCCAGTGAAAGTCCACGACTTTATCCCTAAAATCAATCAAAATCAGACGGGAAAATGAGAAAATCTAGAGCCCATTTCAGAACAATCATTCAGAAAAGCAATTGCAATTGCGGGAACTTAGGAGGGCCTTAACAACCTGTGACCAGCATGCTGGAAAAACAGCCCGGCAGGAGGAGCTTTGGCTGCACGCTCAGACTTCTTGCCCACCTGTTTCAGAATCGTGAACTACATATGTTGACTACGATATAAATTGGAAAGAAGAGTACAATCATCTCTGAACAAATATACAAACCTTGTCATAATCCCAAATGTTCAATAGGCCATCTTCCGCAGAGCTCCCAAATACAGATGACTTGTCAGGAGACCACTAAAATTGGTGACAAAATGGTGTAAGATGGCAATGGGTATACTCATACCAAACATATGATGAGGAATAATAGCCATTTGTTAAGAACCTGAACACAGAGAACAGCAGCTTTATGACCCTCAAATTTGTAAATAGGTGAACCGACTCCGTTAGAGCTAAGGCTTCGGCGATCAAATAACCGAACAGTGTTATCCGCCGACCTGAGCAAGTGGCACACAGGGATGAGTGAACAAAAAACCATCCCACAATTCAATGTATGCAAATATGGAAGGAAGTCTATTCGCATGTTCATAAATTTTGTTTAAGCATATGCATATCATCTGCCGATACATGATGAATACTTGTCTCCGTACCCTGTCAGAATCAAATTGTTGTCATGGGGATTCCAATCAACACAGTGAAGGTCAGCATCATGTGCCTTCTCAACCTGCCAACACGAACCAAAAAAAAAAATTGAATAAAAACCTGAACTGAAGTTATAACTAGAGCAGAAGTATGTATGACACAATTAAGAAGAAAGGTACCTTGATGACAGGGCTTGTGCCAGTTCGTGCATCCCATAGTATAAGGCAAGAATCGTCACCAACACTGCAGAACTCCTGTGCACTTCAACACATAAAAATACACATTAGAACTGTCAGAAAATCCAAGTAGCAAATTTTGCTTGCCCAAACTTACAGAAGAAGAGAAGCATAGAAGTCAACACATTTTGTGTGAAAACAAGAAAAGACAAAAATTTGCTGATTCCAGAAGTTACCTAGATGGGCAGAACGTTACATCTTCAACTGTATCTTCATGCCCTTGATAAATTCCTCGCGGACCAACAGAAGGACTCTCAGATTTATCATTACCTTCCCCAGATTGTTTGATGATAGATCCTGCAGATTTGGAATCTGTAGCCACTGTTGTGATGTGGTCCTGGATGCTCCACAACACAACTGATTTGTCCTTGCCTGCCATAAAAATCGGCGTATAAGAAGCTTGCAGACCATGCCAGAGGAAAGCATAGACCACACCAATACAAACCTCCAGAGAGAACAAAGGGCTCAGTAGGGCACATTGCAAGCGCAAATTCAGCATTGTCTTGGTGTCCGGTTAGTATCTACGAGAAACGTTGTTCAGATGGCGAAACAAGTAGCAGTACATAACAACTAACAAGATATCACAAAAATATTTTGATATAAGTAATTCAGAAAAACAAGATTCCATGGCCTTGTTCAGATGATGCACAAGAAGGCATATCGAGTAACCACAATTCCTATACGGGGGCTTACCAAATCCGGGCGAGAATTTGCAGCTCCAAACACAGCATGACGGTTCGGTTGCGTTTCAACATCCCAAATGAGAACCTGAGTATGGAAATATTGCACTCTACATAAGTGAGTAGAAAGATCGACAATGTCCATAAAGAAGAGGATGCCCCTTTGAGTGCTCGAAAAGAAACAGACAAAAGAAGAAATTTTCATTTTGGGCTGTGATGACAATAAAAAGTGGTCAAAGTTGCGGCTTACATCAGGGCTGTCTGTGTGAGTCGCAATGATCTTACTATTTTGGGGGAGTTCCCTGATTCTGTTGACCTAAAAAAACATAAATTGTTAATGAAGGCATACATCCTAAGCTCCCGACAGAGTTTTCTGTGCATTAAAGTGCCTGAAAAAACGAAAGCTAGGGCAAAGGAATCTCAACAAAAAGGGAATTCACACCTCTCCAGGGTGGATAATGGTCTTGAACTTCTTCACAAATGGAGAGCGGGCTTCTTCGTTAAACTGAAACGACATGCAGAATGATAAGTCAAAGAAATGTATCATAAACACAACTTTCATGGAGCGGAAAACATGATTAAGACAGAAAGCACACAACATTGTAGAGAAACTAATTACCTGAGATATGTGCTCTGCAGCTGCAACCCTCGGTTTTACAACCTCGCAATTTGCTATGACCAGAGTATTGGGCACACTGCCATCCGTCTAAAGATACAACCAATAAAAAGAAATTGTGATAAGAAAAATGCCCTAATTCGTAAGCCAGAAGCACGGCAAAGAAACGAAAAACGCATTAATCAAAAACATGAATAATTTGTGGAAATGGACAAAATACAAGTGAAAGTGCAAACCCACTTGCTCTGAGAGGTAGAGACGCTGGCGATTCTTGTAAGTTGCTTGCTCAAGCTGCGGACCCCATCTGGTATTAAATCAATAACAATTCAGCGAGCCAAAGTCGAAGCCCTTGGACACAAAATCCAACAGCAGCTAAATATCAGAAAATCAGAGTATCATGGAAATAAAAAATAAACTCGAAATCACCAGCCAACTCCCAAAGCCTTTGGGGTGTTTGTAACTAAATAATTGAAAAAGATATCATACATTTTTTTTGCGGGTTCGCGTAAAATCCAACATTGATACACCATAGTTAACTGTGTAAAAATAAGAGAGAATCACAAAAAATCGAATGATGACTGAAAAGTCAAAACTTCGAGGAAAAGAACTCCCAAAAAAAGCACAAAGGCGCTAAACCCTAAAACCCTAACTAGAACTTCTCCATAATTTCACTAAATCTGGCCCAAAAAAACGTCAATTTCTCTCGCCATTTTCACAATCCAAGCGGAAATGCAATTCAATAACATGACCCAAGCGACAAACTAGACCCTATCCCTACCCAAACAGCTGAATACTCAGCCAAGACAACACCCAGAAACACATGACTAACCACCATCGGAACAAGCAACGCGAAAACCCTAGAAGGGGGGGAGGGGCGGGGAGATACGAACCTGCAAGAGAGAGAGGGCCAAACGAGGTTATGGTTGGCAAGCCAGTCGTAGAGGACGGGGACGAGAGCCTTCCATTGAGAGTACTTCTCGTCGGCGGTGGGTTGGTGACTCTTCTTCCCGCTTCCTTCCTTTATCTTCCCTCCGCTGCTCTGCTGCTGCGACTCCTCCTCCTTGTTCTTAGGTTTCCGACCTCTCTTCTTCGGCCCCGTCGCCGGTGTCCCTCCTCCGCCGCTCGCCGCCATGGCTGCTGCTGCTCAAAAGAATTCACCAGATGGGTTTGCTTTCCTCTGTTCAAAAACACTAACTTTGGCTCAAGACAAGAACATAAAGCTCGATAATGACCGTTACCTGTCGATGCTATTCCTTGCCTTCTCCGGCTGCTGCTGCTGCTGCTGCTGCTGTTCCGTCGGTCCCCATTTCTCTCTTTTCACTGTCCCTCTCTCTATACTGACCGTTTCTGCTTTACACCGTCTGTCTTTATTTTTCGCGAATTACAATTTACCTTTTTTTCATTGTCTGCCACGTGTAAACATCCTTTTCCCCCTCGTCTAGTTTATTTTTTTTACTCTGATTTAGTTTAATTCCGTGACAGTAAATACACGAGTTTTGCATTTAACAACGATAAAAATTTCTTCTAATTCTCACGAAAAGGCTTTACACGAGAAATTGAAAAGAATGAAACGACCATTTGTGCTTTGCGGACGTGTTTAGAAAAAAAAAAAACTGTGAATCATGAAATATTTTCGAGATTCATTAACGCAACGCGCATTGAGGACCCGAGTCGTAAACGCTGAAGACTTGCGTTCGTGGAAACGCCAAGATGTGAACGAATGAATCAGAAAACACACGTCTTTTTGGACCTCAAAACGCTAAGATGAGCGTTCATGGTGCTTTTCCAACTGAATCGCGGTAACACTGACATCGATAATCTATAACTAAGAATCGCGTAAACAAAAAAAAAAGGTCGCCGTCTTTCGGACAACAGGTTGCGAGGATCAGACATAAACACCGCTAGCTAGCAGCAGAAACAACGATCCGAAACCCTACATATTGAAACAAACATCATGAACGAAACGAAGTCAAGAAGGTTAATCGTAACATAAATGAAAGAACAACGTACCAAGAAGACAGACGCTATTGCCGCGGTCACAAGCTCCTTTCCGAGGCTTCGGTTTTTTCTAGAGGATGTAGCTTCATAGCTGCAAGAGAGACTCTCATGTCATGTGCTACTATTACTAACTAATGGTTTTACTTGCAGGAACTTAAAGAGTTGAAGTGAATATCCAACCTTCTTAACCCGGATTATGGGTAGAAGAAAGAAAAAATTTAGATTATTTCACATGTATGGAATAAGGGACCGTAAAGAAGTAATGCAAAGACGAAATATATAGGTCTAATTCTCAAGCCCATCTTAAAGCTAAAGCCTTTTCGGTAGGAGGTGCCATGCCACCACCAGCATGCATTTGCCAAAATCCAATGGATCCGTGATCCCAAAATCCCTGAAGTTGAATCTTTTAGCTAGGAAAGACTCGTTTTTTCCTTATGATATTCTATCCAAATCATCTGTGTGTTATCATTTTCAAGATCCAATAAAAAACATGAAGTGTCTACCCTCTGAAACTATCTCATACACATACAAGATAAAACTTTAACATGTAAGAAACACGCATCATTCCCACAAATGAGGGAAACAGAGGGTAAGAGACGGGCGATGACCAAGAAGAGCAACTTCCAAAGCTTTGCAAAGCCACTAGGAGACTAGCAATTGAGAATGCATAGTGACCAGAAACCAGAGTAAGCAATAAGAATATTGGTCAAGCTTCATAAAATCACTATTCCCTCGTATTCAAATACACGAAATGCATACTAGATGAACAGTGAAAACGCATGCTTCAAAGCAAGTAATGACTAACAATCAAGAATTCACCCATCATATAAACATACTTCAATTCTGTATGCACCTAAGAATAACGCCTCAAGTATCTAAAACCCGCTTAATCTTACGAGCTCACTTGCAACTTCCATGTCCAATAAAGACATTGTACACTTTTAGAGAACAACTTTGATATAATGCAACAGACCAACAATGGCTATAGTATTGACACTTCACAGATCACAATTAGCGCAATTGGAACGAATAATCGACAAATAATTACCTCAAGCCGATCAGTTTATGAAATCTATACTAGAATTTCAATGAAGAAATCTATCGAATTCAATTCTTTGACCTCCATTAACCACAACCAGACCGAAGCATATCGAGGAAACCGAAATGGAGAGAAAGCAAAACAGCAAGTGCTCGAACTAGCGTTCAGATCCAGGAAACTTACATGAAGAACGAAGCGGTAATGAAGAGGCCAATGGCCAGTGTGAAAACCGCTAATGTGGGATACATGGTCACCGGAATCGGACTCGCAATCGGTTTCGCCACCTTCTCAGACACGACAATATGAATCACGAAAACATAAACAAAAAACGATCGAATTCATCTCAAAGTCGTTCGGATCAGAGAGAACAAGAACCAATTCGACTTACCATTTTGCAGAAGAGATCTCTCCGCTCGTCTCCCCCTCGATCTGTGCCGGACCTTTTTTGATCTTGAGGGCAAAGGTTCGTACGCAAAAAGCCCTCGGTTCGAAACTGGTTCGGTCTATCAAATTGTAGAAATCTGATGAACCGGTTCTAAGCCTAGGCCCAATACTTAACATCAAAAAGCCCATGTAATAAAATCATTACTATATTTTACAATATATTAATTTTCACCCTATTAAATTTAACAATATAAAGAAGAAGAAAAACTGTAGTGACCATGAAGAACCTTAACGTTGTATTTGCGTTTCAATCTTTTTTTGGGTTAACATCATATAAATTTTTTTACATTACATCTTATTGATAATGAAAATATTGAGAAAGATTCCGATTACAAAAAAAAAAAAAAAATCAGAGTGAAAATGTGAAATATATTTCTGGACAAAATTGAAAATAATTTGGCCTTATTTTTTAAGTTAAAATACTCAATATCATTGCAAAATTAAATTATAATTCGCAACTATACAAAATATTTTTTATGAAAAAAACTCATAAATAAGATAACTATAATATGGGAGTCGATCGTTGCAGCATAACATCAAATCATATACTCTTCTCGATTAACTTTACACATGGAGAAATATATGCAAATAGAAAACCAAAGAAAATTACAATATTTATCTAAAAAAGGGGTCATCGAAACCGAACCGAAAATCTTGTTATTTTTCGTGAACTATACCATTCAAAATTTCTGAACTATATATTTTTTATTGAACCAAATTTCACGTAACCGAATCGAACCAAACTTTATAAAATTTTCGAAAAATTGATTTTTTGTTAAGAAAAACTAAATTTTTTAACAAAAATCGAAACCAAAACCAAACTATACCAAACCGAATAATATACAGTACTAATTTGGTATAAATTTTAAAATAACGAATAAACCGTTCTCGAATCAAACTGCTAAAATTTCGAACCGAATTCCGAAACGGCTACCACTAAAAATATCAACACGGACGATACATGCAATTCATCTGCAAAGGCTTTTGTGGATTACTGTGTTTCCTTCTTCTACGTTTTAATGGAAATCACTTAGAAGTTAGAACGGTGTTTAAATGGAATTATTAAACCCTCCAGTTGACCCAGCGGTTTCTTTGTACGTGGGGGCACTGCAATCGCCAGGACGGTGAGTGTCGGCGATATCCTCCTTGTTTTTCACTACTCCATTAGAGTGAAATCTTATTCTTTTTTCCTTATTTATAAAAAAATAATTCAATTGTTTAGCCCAATTATTTAAAAATATATGCTTAATTTCTCACAACTGGCGCACAATTAAAATATTAATATTGTGTCAAGTGACTTTTGTTGCTTAGAATTTACGAAATGCACAAAAGTGTAAGTTCGATGGTGAAAAATAAAAAATGCCTTTTGCTTTGTCACGCTACGTGTTTCAATTACAACAATCATAATCTAAAAATATTTTATAAATTTAATATTGAGATATTTTATTAAATTTTTTAAATGTATCTAATATCAATCTATTTTTACAAATTTAAAAAATATTTGCTTATTTTTATGATTTTCTGGAGGATATGAATGATTTTTTTTATCTTTATGCGATAACAACGATAAAAATATTTTAAAACTCAATATTTTTCATCCTTTGAAATTGAGAGCGGAAATATTGATATACTTTTAGCGACAATCCAAAAATTCAAAAAAAAAATTAATATTTTATTATTAAGAAAAAGTATATCAACATATATTATTTTATTTAGATTCATAAATAGTATTATTTTATATCAAATTTATACATTTTTTTTTCTTATAAATGGGTGAACATTTCGATTTGAAATTTTGTTTCCAAATCAAAATCGAATCGAACCAAACCAAATAAAATAAATAATTTGGTATAATTTTTAAAACTAAATAAATAATTCATGAATCAAATCGATAAAAATACAGAATAAAAATCAAAATTTTTTATGTAAATATAAAGTTTTGATTCTTATTCGGTACTCATATTATGAATCGAATTGAATTGAACCAATGAATATTTGATTCTAGTTTGGTACAATTATTATAGAATGAATAATTCATTTTAAAACCGAACCGAAATCTGAAACGACACCTTAATGTTAAATCTACAATTACTCTCTTGCCACTATTAATACAAATAAAATGTATCCTATAAATATGTTATTTTAATTGTGTTTTTTTCTGTCGAAAAAGAATAACTTATCATTTTATACATTGACTTTTTATATTATGATTTTTTTAAATCTAATGATTATTAAAATATATAAAATAGTTATTCGAATCATTTTTATAGTTTCAATTATAGTTCATGTTATAAAGACGTGTGATGTATCAATATAAATTATAATTTTAAATTTCAAAAGATACATAGTTACTGAACTAGTTTAATATTTTTATACGTACACTTTACTTTCAAAAAGTATAATATTCAAAAGCCGGCCAACAGAACAAGATTTTGGGCGGTTTCAATTAGTATTCAATATTTTAGAATAAACCAATATATAAAACACTGTAAAGTCAAATGTGATATAATTTTAGTCTTTTTTTATATTTTGAAGATCAATGTTAAATATAACATTTTTTACTATTAAAATTTTTAAATAATTTAATATAAGAATCTAAATTTAAAAGTTCATAAAAAGTAGATGTATATATAACAATATTCCAGATAATATAAACATATTTTTTAATTATTAAAAATGATATTTTGGATTTATAATCCCTATTTAAACTTTTTCGTTAAATGCGTTATACGTCTAAATATTATAAATATATTGCATTTTGGTGAAAAATCCCAAATAATGCAGTACAAAAATTTAGAAATTTTTACTGTCGAATCTAATATAATCACAATAATTAGAAATATATCTGAGACGTGTCTATCAGTCTATGTATTATATTCTTTTTGAAATATATATTGCTCTTTCCCATTTATTAAAAGAAATGACTTAAGAGACATATATATAATAAACAAAACTTATCAAATACCACATTCATTTTTCTTTTTATTTGACATTTTTATCCCTTTTCGTTGTGTTAATTTTCTAAAATAGCGAAAAAAATTCTTAAATAATTAGACAAATAAATTTAGATTATATCCAAGTTTGACAAACAAAAATTATGATCATACTAGCGTGAAAAAAAGTTATATATTTTAGGAATATTACAAACAAAATGAAAAAGAAAAATGCTACAAATTCTACGTAGTATAATAATCGATTCAATAATATCCTAGAAATGATGCAACAATAATGATATATTTTTATGAAATATATTTTTGTACATAATTTGTACACACAATCCCTCCAAGGTATAGTTTAAAATCCATGACCGTAAAAGGATAAATGAAAATTTTTAACTGATAAATAATTCGTATTGTAGAAACCTAATTTGGATAATTTAATTAATTGTACCCCCTTATTAGATTAAAAAAAATTGAGATGATTAAAAATATATGAATTTGGATTTTGTTATGCAGAAATAAAACGCAATAATATTCAACAAATGATTTGAGAAATGTGTAAATGAACATACATACTTATGAATCCTATTTATTTTGTCTCGTATTATTAAATAGTGTATATTGGACTATCCGATATGGATGATATGCAGGCTTAAAAGTTAAAACCTACACCAAATATTACATAAGGAAAATATTTAAAAAATCTATTAATAATATTTATTTAAAACGTCAATCATCTTAATTTTTCATATCTTTTTTGGTGGGCACTGAATTCGAACCCAACACTTATGAACATATAGTAACAAATCTTAATTTAATTATTTTTGGTGGTCACATTCTGATTTTAGAAAAACTATATATATTTCTATATATTTTTCAATTCGTTCAAATTCATTTCCATTTTGATTAATAACAAATCTTCAAGATTTTTTACAATTTAATTCTTTCAGTATTTTTGGGATTTGATTCTATTAAATTGATTTGATGATTAAAAACGATGTACAATTGATTCTCGATCAATTAATTACTATATCAAATTCAGTATTATTATTTTCAATACAATTTTATATATTCAAACTAAAACTATATTCAACTAGATAACAATGTAAAAGGTAATAAAAATTGAAACAAAAACAATTCAATAAGCACAAAAGTCAAAGCACTATATATATATATTTCAATTCGTGTATATATTATGCGTTGCATCTTCGGACAATAAAACTTGCATCTACAATAACGGAATTTCGTGAAAAAGTATTCACGTGCAATTATTGTATTATACTATTACACACCTCCTTTACATTCTCTCACTTTATATATATATATACATGTCACAAGACTCAACCAAAGTCCATAACAACATACGACGTCATTAAACATTAACATTAACATTTTCATCGATCATCATTCGTTTCTTGATTTCCTCTCCTCTCGTTCATCGTATACTTAACGACATGGTTAATCTCCGTTTAGCCATACTAATCACGATTAGTGTATGTTCAATCCCAAGCTTAACAAAATCGGAGGAGGGCATTGATGTCTTTTTACCTATAACCCTAAACCTAACCATTCTCACTGACGCTTCCTCCATCTCCGCCGCATCCCACGATTTCGGAAACATCACTGACGAGTCTCCCTCCGCCGTGCTCTGCCCCTCCTCCGCCGCCGAGGTCGCCCGTCTCATCGGCTTT